TTTACATAACTTCTCCTAAATATGCTTGGATTTCAAGTTATAAATTCATGAAGTCATGACATTTTCATTTAACACTTAGAGAAATTTTCAGCAGTTTTGGTCAGGTTTTTGTCCAAACTTCTTGGCCAATTTTCATCAAGTTCCAATTTAATTTAACAAAAGTGGTCAACATGAAAGTTGTAGAGGGTGTTTCAATCTTTCCAAAACATCCAAGAGCATGAATTTATCATATTTGAGCTAGGAGATTCAAGAGCATGAAGTTGAGCATCCATTATTAAGTTGCAAGTCATTTTAGTGAAGAACACATAACAAAACTCTTATGATTTGCTGTATAATATTATGTTGCAGGCCTCCTTGATTGCAAATATCATCATAATTTAATGTTTACACAAGAGCTTGAACTATTACCCAAGTGTTTAAACCATTGTCCACAAGATCTTTCCATTTATGGCATAAAGGCACCATTTCTATTCTTGAAAAGAAAGCTTTTTGTACAAAGTTTGTCTTGAGCCTATATCTTGCTTGTTGCTGATTATAATCCACCATAAATCATGGGAAGTAGCTCATCTATACCAGAAACTTTGGTACTTCACCTTGGGACTATGGAGTACTTGACATAGTTTGATCTTTGTAATCCAACAAAACCATAACATGTTGTCTTGCAAACTTAGTCAGCTCATATGCACAAACCTCCTGCCTATAAATAGAAGAAGCATTTGCAAGACAAAGAGGTTAGAAAAAATAGAGAGAAAGGACAAGTAGAAAAGCAAGAAGTTATATTGGTAAACCCTCAAAATCTCATTCATTCAAAAAAAACCAGTTCTGTTCTTATTCAAAACAGAACCCCAACCCATCATTCCACCATACAAACTCTCCATAAGCCAAACACTTCATCACATACAAAGTTTATCCAAACATAAAAATAGTCCTTGTAGTGCTATCCATCTTCACCATCAAAAATACCAAAAATATTATAGTACAGTCCAACTCAATTTCAGCAGTCTGGAGCAGCTTTCTGAAGACTCACAAAGTCATCACAGTATTTGGAAAAGCATTCAGATCTAAAACAACCAGTGCAGCCCAAAGGTAAGTCGTCTTGACTTGATATCTTTTTATACATCATTAACAATTTGTTGTTCTTGAAGATAAGATGTAGTATTTTATCATCCCTTTGAACTAGTCATTTGTTTATGATTTAGGCTTATTCACTCATTTGTTATTTACATCTATCCATCATATGTTGTAAGCTAACCTGTACAGACAAGAAAAACAATGTTTAAGGCAGGAAAATACAGCATGTATTGACACATAACCCCCATGTATCGACCCATACTGAGTTCAGATTGCAAAACAGAAGCTGGAAGAGCCTATGAGTCGATGCATACGCGTTTCGCATTGATACAAGAAGGTGCATGAGTCGACACATCCCATTATGTGTCGACCCATACTGAACTGATTTTGTTTTACAGGAGCAGGGAAAAGCTATGTGTCGATGCATAACAGCATGGATCGACACATAGCAGTTTAAAATACATTTTTTTCCTTTGTTTTGCACTGCTTTTACATTGTTTTCAGTATTATTCGATATGGTTGTAATATTTCAGTCTCCATTTCATCCCTATTGTTAAATTGTACCCCCATCCCCCTAAAGTAATGTAATAGTTTAGATTTTATTTTCCGCATTTTCACTTGCTTTTCATATATTGCTAGTAAATAGGATGTATGGCAAGATAAAATCAATAAATAGATAACTTTCAAATATAAGACTAAATGCATGTAATCAAACACATTTGCACACTAGCACCTCTAGGGTAATCTCACTTGTTGCCTATTGGAAAATAGTCATGTCCCTCGAATATGGGACGTTTTAGCAAAGACCTTTCGATAAAAAAAGATCGTAGTCCCTCGATGACCCTGATCGGGACTTTATAAGTCTGTCGGGATACTAACTGCAAGTATACAGTTCAGTCGTTCTAGTTTTAAAAGATTATCGAACCCACAGAGACTGAGGATCAATCGCATACGATCTAATGCTACAGTTTGTCTAACTAAGCGATGAATATTCGATTTTTGGGGGAAACAGTTTAATTAAAAGTAATAGTACTAATTATACCGGTATGTGATAATCGGACTTAGGGAATTCGGTGAATCGCTTGGCCTATAAAGTATTTCGGTAAAAGCTAATTGTTTAAAAACCTGAGACATACACTCTCGTGTTTATGAAATAAGTCATGCTACTAAACCTAGTGGATGCACTTTAAATTTAATAACACTTTTTGAAAATAATTTGAATTTAATTAATTTATTAAAACACTCTCGTGTATTTAAAAATCAATGCTTCGTTACCACTATCTGGGTTGAACCCCAGCTCTCGCATGCAGGTTCTTGCCTTAATTAATTTCCCACTCTCGTGGCAAAATCGTGTTAATTAACCTCTCACTCTCGTGACAAGGATAGTTAAATTAATCTTGGAAATTGGAAACCAGAAATTGTTTTATAAATATTTTTGGCCAAGGTATCATTGAATTCTTTCAGTTCTTACGGTCACATACCGATATTAATAATTTAGCCAGACATAATTAACTTAACAGCAATACAGTTCAAAATATAATTCATGGCAATAATTGGCATATTATAAAAACTGAATGAATAATAATTGCAATATAAAAAACCTGGAATCAAAGTTGCTATGGTAATCTTGAGGTATTACAGTAATCCAATTTTCGAGCTTGACTTGCAGTAAATGATTCGTGTTAATTCTTGAAAGAAGAATTAACACTTAAAACTAGAAACTAAGGCTTTGAATGAAAATTACAAGAAAATGAAAACAGAATTCCAAAACAAGCAAATTGGAAAATAACTGTAAAATAAAATAATATTTGCTCTGAGTAAATTTCTTCGACCCCTGAACTGTGCACTGGTACACATATATATAGCATAGGAAAAATCAGCAGTTTTTGAATTCTTGATGAAGTCTTCAGTGGAGAAAATACAGGAGCACTAATATTGGTGGCAAGAAAATAGGGGACTCAGTAGAAAAAGGGAGAACGAGTCTGCCCTTAACGCCCACGTCTCAATCCATGCATAACGTCCACCTTCACGCGCGTGACGGTCGTCACAGGTGGGTGACGGTCGTCACGCGCTGAAGTAGTGCCTTACGCTCGTCAGTGGTGTGTGACGAGCGTCTCCTTATGTTGGGGGGTGTTACGCCCGTCACAGGGACGTGACGACCGTCACTGTTCCAGAAGTCCAAACTTTGTATTTTTTTTAATTATTTTTCTCTTTGTTTATTGTCTAGCCTTCTTCATGTTGTCCTTTTCCATCGGTTTGAGTCGACAAGTGTTATACCTGCAAAAAGACAAATAATCTCGGAATAATCGGGGGTTAGACGACTTAATGAAATATAAAATCGGTAAAAAGCATGGTAATTATACGATATGTTTTCTCGTTATCAGACCCTCGATGTTGCCTTCGATAAAACGATTTAGTCCCTAAACGACATTGCTAAAACGTCTCATAGGTTGCCTTCTATGACTATGCAAAACATATTGTACTAAGCATAGTAATAATTGTATCAGATAGGCAATTAATTAGCAAAAACATATTTTAGACTACTTTTATCCTTTAAAACATGAAATTTTAACATTTAAGCAAAAAGCAAAAATGGTTTAACCAGAGGTAATTGTGTTCTTATATTATAGATTAGTGTTGGGATAAATGAGAGATAGAAACTGTTTTTTTTTTAATAACATCCAACATTAATTATTAAATCATCATGTAACTTCAACCATAAAAAATAAGGGCAGCCAGGACCAAACTTCACATTCCTAAGCACTTTAGAATTTAACAGAAAAGATAAAACTCTTGTCTACCACAAGGAGTATCCTGTCTTTGCTTGTTGATTTGATGGATTCTTCTTGTTCTTCAATCCTTTCTTCTTCCCCGGAGAAAAATATAGATTTAATGCATTTTTTGAAAGAAGCACTGTAATCTTTTAATCTCTTATCCCAACCCCCAATGATTTCTTAAAAACCACATCCCAGACGGAAAAAAAAACATAAGGTTTAGATTTACCCATCTGAAATACATGTGTAACCTGTAGGTGGGAAAAGAAGGTCTCTATATACTTAAGGTTCCTAGTTGGCTTTAAGTTAGAAAGAAATGAGGTTTAAAATACAGCACTGTATTGCCAGTATCACAAACCACTGTGCAACAAGTTCCACTTTCAAGTCGTGGTTCTTAATGTGTAGATAAATTTTGTTGCCTTTTCATATTTACCACTCTGTAATTCCAATGGACAAGCCATGATTCTTGGTGTCCTCTATTTTGAGCTTCTTCTTGACTCCAAAGATGCTCTAGCATCTCTTTCACAAAACATCTAAAGTCATCAAGGCTGGAATCCGTTGACCTGTACGCAGAAACTCATCAGTGATCTGAAGTAAAAGGATGAAACTTGTGTAGTAAAAAAATGTAAAAAATGAGGTGCGTCACTACATATTCTTGTTTTGTTAAAACCTACCTTTTCCATTATTGGCTCTAACAAGACAATAAATTATAAGTCACAAAGAAGGAACTTACCTACCAATTCCTCATTTGCCCTTTTCACTTAAATATTGTTGTAACAGTTTTAGAGCATCAAGCCTTGTCTAGTAAAGAAATCATGAGGTCCGCAATAATGGGAAATTACCAGTTTTCATAAACACATTAATTAAAACAAACAAAACCACAAAGATCTCATCTATATAGATAAAACATAAGAATTGTTCTGTTCTCCCTCCAAGAAAACTATTACCAAACACATACAAGGAAAACCCCATATTAGGATTCTTGACACAAAGCTGTATTTATAATGTTTTTACAATGAATACATGTTAATGTGATTGTTAATTCCAACCCCATTAGCAACAAATGCCGCAAATTTTACATGTGACTAATTATAAAAAAGCATGTGATTCATTCTAACAAGGATAAAGCCGTTCCTGATGAAAATTGTTGAGATCTCAATTATGGTTCAAGCATAAACATCCGCCCACTCTCTTTGCAAGTCTTGCAAAGAATTTTTCATTTGGCTTCGGTAATGGCTCATTCTTGACAGTAAGTGGTGACTCCATCTTCACATCAGGCGATCGTTGTGCTTCCACTCCAGGTGATGGCTCTGTTTTCACATCAGGTGACGGTTGCACCTCCACTTCAGGTATTGGTTCAACTTCCACAGTAATTGATGGCTCATTTTCCATGACAGTTGACTCACCATATATTAGATAGACAGTAGTCTCCTTAACTGTCAATCCATGCCCAAAAGCTACATAAATCTCTACATCTTCACCAACTCCTAAATTTGATAGTACACCCTTCCAATCTTCATCATTAAAGGACATTATTGTGTCTCTCTTGTATATCTGAAGAGTGAATTTTGTGTAGTTAATGATCAAAACACTAGTGAGACATTCATGTGCTATATTTTCAAGTGTTGATGAATAAACAACGCATAAAGTTATTCCCTTCATTCCACAATCACTATCCTCAGGCACTTGAAAACATACTGAAGGTCCTTCAGATGTATATACTAACCGAGCGGGTAAATTGTTTCTCGGAAGGAAAGAAGCACTAGACTTATTGGTTGTCAATCCCTGTATTATGAACAAATGCTTAGTTATTTATATGCATTCAAATGGACATTATCAAAACAGTGCACTACACAAAAAGCACATACAACTTACAAGGATACTGACAGAAAGAAAACAAGCAATAGCTGCAAAACTATTTGTAAAATGGATATGCCAAACACATTTTTTACTTGTATATGCCAATGGTCATTTTCTCATCTTATTATCACACACTTATTCTCACTTTCCATATGATCTAAATGCTTTTCTTTCCTACGGGTACTATCATTTTCTTAGTTTGTTTCATTTGCATCTCCAGACATTTGGCCTGTTTGTATTTGATCACTCCAATTCACTCATCAATCATCTATTGTATCCTCGAGCTGCTTTGAGTCTCAAAGTCACAACTGCAAGTAATCTTCCGATTTTTATTTTATTCTAGTTCAGGATTATTATCTAAAAGCACTGTACTTATTTTATCTAGTTGTTATCCTTAGGACAAATTTTGGAATTTATTCTGAGATACACTGCTTACGGTGTCTAACTAGCTCTATTGCCACAACACTGCAACTTTCATTCCCTGTATACATAAGGCCTAATATTGACATGTTAAAAAATCCCATCATTTTCTGCCTGTCAGATACTTTCTTTTCAAAACATTAGGAAATATACTGTTATCAGTTATGTAGAACAGTCTGTTTCCTCATTAAAGAGACGATTCTAGCAAGTAAATCACTTCTTCATGAAAATAAAAGGGCTATATGCATCTCGAAGCTTTATTTTCTAATTAAGTGTAATGTTGTACCAGTTTACCGTTCTCGATTCCTGCTTATTTAGAGGAAAGAAATAACATATACAGTATACTTTTAGAATTAGGGAGTTGTAAAAAAATATCAAGTTACCGCTAGTTCTTGTTAGATTGTAGTTACATAATAAAAACATTTAAAAATACAACGGTTGAATTAGAGTTTTATATTCTGTAATAAGAAAATCCAATATCATTCATATAAAAACAAATATAATTTTACTATGTTCCTTTTTTCCCTTATATATCTAAAGGTCTTAACTTGTGTGACTTCAGATATTATTCAATTCTCGTTTTCAAGTTAAACATGTATATGTAGAAGTAAAAAGAATGGAGACAAAACAAATGAAATAAATATAGACGTTAAAAACGAAAAAAGTAATGGAAATAGAGTTAAAGAAAACTATAGAATCTACATAAGAAAAAAGGATATAGTCATCTAAATAAATTAATTGCTTCTATGCTACATGTCTAACCCTATCGTTTATACTAGTTTATCTGATAGATACTTGAATAATTTGTATCTTTATGAAAAAAAAATTCCATTTAGGGAAACAAATGCAAGGGCATATCATTCTAGGTTCTCTTTATTAAAAATCAATATCAGTAAAGGTGGAAAGATAGAGAACCTGCGATAAGCTCTTGCCAAGAGTCTCATTCATTATTTGGCAACTTCCCATTCCAAACAAAACAGATTTAAAGAAAAGATCCGAGGTTTGTGAAGTATGTGATGTTTCCAACTCAGTAAGATCATACAGAAATCTTCTTAATTCTTCTTTCAGTTGAATCTCTGAGTGACATTGTACACAAATTCTTCTAAGTTCTGAGCTGCTGCTAAGAATTGCTGATTGATTGACCAAACCAAAATTTTTACCATCTATATCCAAGGAAACAAGAGACATTGACATGCCACCGAAAGGGGGAATATGTGCTAAGGAATTCATCGTTGGTGACGTCAAAGACCAAATGATAGCAGGAAAAATATCACGCGATAAACCTTCATATCCACATAGGGATATATATCCAATGCTTTTTGATCTTACTATTGAATGGGGAACTTGTTTGACACCAGTATTTGCTGCAATTAGAGTTGTCAAGGATTCCATTTGCCCTATATCTTCTTCCAATTTGTTAATCTTTGAGCAACCAGAAAAGATGAGAGTTATTACAGATCTCAATTGATAGATCTCTTTTGGAAGATAGCCAAGACTTGTACAGTCCTTCAAGTTTATGAGAAGGAGATTCTTGAGATCTCCAATGGACGGGTGTACGTTGGATAAACTTTGACAATCCTTCATAATGAGCTTTTCTAGATTCGGTAATTTTGAAAAGTCAGGGGTGCTTTTCAAGTGCCTAGAATGACTGAGATTGAGAACTTTTAGCTTCTGCAACAACTGCAAGAAAATAATTGTTTAAAAGAAAAATTAGAGAGGAAAATGGGGAATCAAAAGGTGGAAGCAGATACTAGTGTCTTCAACTTCTACATTTTTGAAGAAAATGTAATTATACCTTGGCTTCCTTCCAAACTTGGTTAACATTGCTATGTTTTAATTCAAAAACAACGAGATTTCCCTGATCAAAGCCGTTGGGTACAAAGTTGAAGGCAGGTCGTTGCCAATTGACCCATCTCAGTTGTTTGGAAAAATTACCAAAATCTCCAGTGAGGTCAACACGATCAAGTTGTAAAAGTCTCAGTTTCTGCATGTCTTGAAAAGCATTGGTACTGTAGCTAACTCTTCCTGTTCTTTGCAAGTTCAAAATCAATGCCTCAACAGTTTCTGTTCCCTGCATGTGAAGTAAAAAACCTGAGAAAAGTAACGGGAAATGCTTTTTTATTTTCTTGCTAGAAAGTGATGCATAAAATGGCAGAACCCAAGCACACTTGTAACGAATGTGAGTAGGAAACACACACTAGGATTATTAATCCCACAATTCTTAGTCAATAATGAAGAACAAAAACAAACGGAATTTCACGATCTTGATAAGATTATGGAGGATAATCAAAAGTGTGAAATTGTATATAGAGAAAGTTCTTACAGTATTTTTTTCCAAAACATCGTGTACATCTTCGTGAAACCACAACCGACTACGCTTCCCAGGCTCTCTAGCAGAAATTCCGCGGACAATTTCTCTTCCCATGTCTCTTATTAAATCATGCATTCCAAGCTTGTTATTCTTCTCAACTTTTAGGAGACTCCGATCAATGAGGACAGCTATTCCAATATCAGCATAAAGTCCACAGCCATTTAGTATCTCTGTAACATAGGCTCTGTCCTTACCGATAAAGAAACAACATATGTCGAGAAATATATCCTTTTCCATGTCATCCTTCAAACCATCATAGCTTATTCTCAGTTTCTCATGCACTTGATCATTGGGAATTCTTTCTAACTTTGATAGTACACTTATCCATTCTTGTTTTGACCTCTCAAATAAGTAGGATCCAAGGACTTCAAGAGCCAGCGGTAACCCTCCACAATAAGCAACCACATTTCTTGAGAGCTCACTATAGCCTCCTCTCGGACTTGCTAGTCTAAAAGCATGCCAACAAAAAAGCTCAAGAGACTCATTTTTGTGCATTTCCTTCATTTCATAGACAGAAACTTTAAGTAACTTAAGTATGTGGACATCCCTGGTTGTAACAATTAATACACTTCCAGAACCAAAACTTTTATGATTTCCACACAGGGCTTTTATTTGCTGAAAATCTGTCACATCATCAAGTACAACAAGTGATTTTTTTCCGGAAAGCACTTTTTGGATCCTAGTTGTCCCCGACGCAATACTATGTATCTTCTCCTTTGTTTTAAGGACATCCGAAAGAAGTTGTTGTTGTAAATGAATGTGCCCTCTACTATCGTGTTCACAAACTTCTCTAATATTCTCAATGAAACTTATACAATCAAATGTACGATGAATTTGATTGTATATGGCTTTGGCTACAGTTGTTTTACCCGATCCTCCCATGCCCCAGATCCCTACCATACAAACATCGCTCGGTTGTTTCTTAATCAACTGAACCACTTGTTTCACATGGAACTCTAATCCAACTGGAAAGTCAGTAATCGGCAAGGATGTGTTGTCTAGTTTTGGCAAAATGGCATCAACAATTTTCTTTACTAATTCACGGTCACTCCTTCAATATTAGTATTAATTATGAATCAGACACAACAAGCATAAACATCAAAAGACTATATAGTAAAAGGTACATACAAGTTTCAAATGTTAGTCAAAACACTACCTAGTGTATGTTTGGTTTCACCATTTAAACATTTAGAATTGATTCTCGAAGTGTAGAATTTATTAAACATTTAGAATTGATTCTAGATGTGTAGAATTGATTTTAACATATTTGGTTGCGCTCGAGTAGAATTGATTCTGCTTTTCAGAATTGATTTTACTTGAAGTTGGGATTCTAGCTTTTTGAGTCTAGACATAATTTTTACACTTATAGCATGTTTGATTTGGCTTTTGGATGAGCCAAAAGCAATTCTAAAGATATAAAATTGATTCTAGAGTAATTTTGAGGTGTTTGGTTCTTTTAAAGTAGAATTGATTCTCTCTCCAGAATTAATTATACTTGAAGCTATAATTTGTAGCTTCTTGATTTTTACACTGAAATTTGTTGTTCAAGTCACTTTTACATAAATGTATCCAAACATAAATCAATTATGTTAAACTCAATTATGTTAAAATTAATTCTACCAAACTCAAGTCCATCAAAATCAATTATATACACCGTCAATCCAAACACACATTTAAACTTATTGTTCAACTTAGTTTCACAAGAATTTATCCAAACATAAATTATTTTATCTTCAACTCAGTTTTAGCCGGAATCAATTTTACATAATAAAATAACTCATAATCAAACTTTTTCACCGCAGAACCAATCACACGCCTAATAGCACTAAAACATCACCAAAAACTATACTAAAATGACTTATTAATTAAGCTATACCTGAAAGCGCTTCCTTCCCAACCAGATAAATAGGAAGCGTCAGTCAAGACCTTTTTCCATCTAGTCAAAACCTTCTGCATCACTTCCTCAATTATATATCGACTCTTAGCACTAACTTCCAAAGCTTTACCAAACTCCCCTTTCTGATGGCGAACAACAGAAGGCTCAACATCATAAAACACAGGCAAAACGACTTGACCTAGAGTTCTACGACACTCCATGATCTTATCCAATTCGTTTAAACACCAACTAGATTCGGTGTAGCCTTTGGAGAAAACGACGATTGATATGCGCGATACTCCAATCGATTGAACTAGTTCGTTTCGAATGTCCTCGCCTTTTTCGAGCTTCTCGTTGTCGAGGAAAGTGTTGATTCCGGCGTTTGAGAGGACGGCGTAGAGATGGGAGACGAAGGTTCTGCGAGTGTCTTCGCCTCTGAAGTTGATGAAGACGTCGTGAATCCATCGGGGGTTTGAGGAGGAGGAGGAGGAAGATGAATACATTGATTGGATTTAGATCGAGTCAACGTTTACCAGAACAGTGATACGAGAACGCCTTCGGTTTCTATATGTGGTGCGTGTGTGTGTGTGAGAGAGAGGGTATATGATTGAGTTCACGCGTTCTACACATCATAGATTCCATAACTTATTTTTTACTATCTTATCTACACTTCGAAAGTTACATGAAGAAACACTCAGTTTCATAATGTGAAATCGCTCTGACATGAAGAATCTACTTGCCATCTCAAAGTTGTATTTGAGGCCCCACATATTTTAATAGTGTTATAAATTCCTTTTTAAAATTTATCTTTTTTTTTTATTTTTATAAAAAATTTGTAAAACACGAGAAAAATATTATAGTGATGATATTACTGGTATGTGTTTTTCCTAATATAAGTAAAATATAAGGATTTGAAAACCAATTTCCCACCTCAACTTCCATATTAAGAATCGTTAATGTGTGAGGTATTTTGGGTTAGAGAAAGAACGGGAGAAAATGAAAATAAAAATTATATTATTGACTGATATAATATTATATATATATATATATATTATAGATTAAGTAATAAATCTTAAATCTTAATTAATTTAGGTTTAGGTTACACAACTTTGATTATGATCTCACCTGATCAGAAATGGACCGTCACGGCTGGCTCCGAGCAGAAAGCTTTTTTGAACGAGGTGGGGGGTACCTGCAAGACACTCCGATGCTGAAGTAAGTAGGAGTACGAGCAGATAATAGCAAGTTGAGGTTAGAATGATGAATACCTGACCCTCTGGAAACAGAGGGTATTTATAGCCCCCAGCGCTGGGCCAAGGTTCCTCCATTGGGCCGGGCGGATTTGGCCCAATGGAGGAACTGCCAGGTTCTACGTGGGTAGTGGAGACCCGCACGTGGTCCCCTTCCTGGATGTTCTGCGTGAAGTGCGGGCGGACGAAGACGCGGTCTTTCCGGAGTATCGTTGGGGGAACGGTGGACTGAGTCTGCCTAGTTGGGATGCTCGAGACAACGTCGAGCTGGACAGCAGGGTGTCGAGCTGGACGTCAGGACGTGGAGCTGGACGGCAGGGTGTCGAGCTGGACGTCAGGAGGTGGAGCTGGACAGCAAGATGTCGAGCTGGACATCATCACGTGGAGTTGGACAGCGGGATGTCGAGCTGGACATCAGGATGTCGGGCATGGATGTGACCTCTTTGCTCGACGTGGTCCTCAGTAAGTCCCTTTGGATTGGGCCTTAGTAATGCTTTTGGGCCTGTCGGGCCCAGTCCAGAACAGGAGCCCCCCAAGTCGTGGTTCCTTTGCGAGGAGCCATGACTTGAACCTAAGTTATTCCCTCGTTGAGGTCTCGTGCCCGGGATAGAGGTGTGGGCCCTCGAGGGGCCTCCTCGTGTCGTGCTCGGAGACGTCCTCGGTGGCGGATGCGCGGAGGATCCTTGTCGGGCGCATCGGTCGAGCACACGAGGTATCTTTCGGGAACTGTGCCGCCACCCTATGGGGGTAGGGTCATCATTGCGTTGGGAGCAGTGCGTCGAGGAGATGGAGTTCGTGGTTGCCCGAGGTGACGTTTGGTATTCCACGTCATCACTATAAATAGGAACCTTGGGCCCCATAATACGTTTTCTGCTCTCTGTGCTCTCTCTGCTGCTGCTCTTCCAGACTTTCTCCAGTTGCGACTTCCCGTCACAGATTCTTCCATTTCGTAGCCAAATCCCACTCCTTGATCCAAGTAAGTGATCTATCTTCTTCATTTTTCTGTTTAGAATGCATGATATCCGGCGTTTGTAGATGTTTTAGGACCGTGCGCGTGGGATTAGCCCGGTAAACTCGTGCTCAGCCCGACACATTCATGTCTAGGACCGGCAAACGCATGTTTGTGGCCGGCACATTCATAGTTTAGGTGATAAACTTCAGGGCTGCCCGGAGTCTTCATGATCCAGGGCGCCTGATTCATGATCGCGCCCGATATGTTCATGGTCTTGGCCGTGGGCTTCATGGTGCGGCTCGCCATGTTCATACCTCTGGTCGACATGCTTGGAGAGTGGCCGCGCAGTTGGTTTGAGGAGGAACACCGGGTTCAGGACGTCGGGGAGGCAACCATTTGTGGAAACGGACTTATGTAGTCGTGTATGGGACGACATGATTTTGTCGAGCGTAGGACTTCGTGCTCAACTGACTGGTTTCCCGTGCTCTGCAGGTAACCATGGCGGACGAGCCGAGCTCCTCCGGACGCCGCGACCGCGAAGAACGGAGTGCCGACGAGTCGGTCACCCTGATTGATACCGTGACCGACCCATTGCTGGAATAGGTGGGCGTCGAGCCGCGGGGGATAGCATCGGTATATAGTCGGGACGACCGACATCCATTCGCTGTCATTGAAGAGGGTCAAGACCAGCCCGGCTTCCAACAAAACTTCGTAGTTATGCTTCCGTCAACCCATGCAAGGATTTGCTCGGTTTATCCGAATTACAGCCTTGCGATGTATGAGATCGCGTTCAAAGACCTAGGGCTGCAGCTGCCATTCACTGACTTCCAGGCCGGGGTCTTTATGCACTTGGAGCTGGCCCCGTCCCAGCTACACCCAAACTCTCTCGCCTTCATCCGGGCGTTTGAGTTGACGTGTCGGTACCTGAGGATCGGGGTGACCATCCCGCTTTTCTTCCGGATATTTCACCTGCAGCGTCAGTCCCGAGGAGGGAAACATAGCTGGGTCTCCCTGAAGCAGTCGAGGAGGCTCTTTAAGATGTATATGGACTCCGTGAGGGGGTTTAAAGACAAGTGGTACGTGGTACGGCCAGTTACCGACGCTGCTTTAAATTCCCTTTTCGAGGAGGAGGGGCCGGTGAGCGACGATGATGGGGAAACGATGATGGGCGACGATGGGAGCCCTGTGTTGGGTCGTAGGGCTAAAATCCCGGTGTACTGGATGTCCCGGCATTACGAGCATGGGACCGGTTATTACCATACCGCTGTCGGGGACATGTGCTCGGAAGACGAGCAGGCGTACGACACTCTTTGTCGGTTTGTCGACAGTTTCCATCCCGCCCAATGGGTTACGCGGGAAGGGGATGATATCCTGGACAAAGACGGTTACCCGACGTTCGAGTCCCGTCCGATTGACATCAAGGCACTGGTGGAGTGCCCGACATACAGGCAGGCTGCCCGCCTGTTAGGTTGTTTGTTGCTTAAAATTCTTTATTCGTCATTTACTCATGAAGTTTGCTCGATACTGACTTCTCCTTTATTTCGTGCAGGTACGATGGCTAGCCGACATGAAAGGCTCCTGAAATTATCCTGCGACCAGAGGCGAGGCAGGAGGGTCGTGAAGCCCCCACAGGCGACGAGAATGGGCCCGTCACAAAGTCCAAACGCTCCTCAGTCGGCGAGGGTGGAATCGCCGTCGAGCTCGGGGCCCGCGTCGGATCCAGAAGTCGAGGAGATCGACCCCAGTGTCGTTTTGATGCAGCGGAAGAGGACCCGTGTGGAAGGTGGTCCGACTGTCGGTGAGGACGCGGGTGCTGTTAAATCTTTCGCCTTCCCCCCTTGCTTCGAGGAGGCGGGCTTTTTCGAGCGATTTCCTCCGACAGTGGTTGCCCATGAGGCTGCCGCCATAAAAAAGATGAGTAAAGATGAACGGAAGGCGTATCTGGCCGCCAGCGTGGATGGGCTGGTAAAAATGGCCGAAATGGCTTTGGTGCTATCTGAGGATGGAGGGGATGATGCCCGTGTTGAAGAACTCGAGCAGGAGAAGGCGGCGCTGACCGCGAGCTCGCGGAAGTTGAAGGTCGCTCTGGAACGCTCCGAGGGGATGTTCCGAGAGCAGACCGCGATGCTCGATGCTGAGAGGGAGATGTTGACCCTGGAGAAGGAGAAGTCGGGGAAGCTGACTGAGGAAGGGGAGCTTCTTCGAGCGGACAGGGATCGCCTGGCGGCCGAAGTCGAACGCTTGGGTAAACAGGTCGAGGAAATGAATGCTACCCTGCAACCTGCCGAAGATGAGCCCGAGGACATAGTAGCTTTGAAGAGTCGGGTGGAGCTGGTCGCCCACATCCGGCTCCTCGAGGTGGACTGCGTCGGTGCCCTAGAGGACGGGTTCAACTCTGCGGTCGGTCAACTCTCCTTGCTAAACCCTGGCCTGGTCACTGAGGGTATCGGTCATACACACCGGATTGTAGATGGCGTGATCGTTCCTCCGCCCGACTCTCCGAGCGCCGGCAATGATGATTCCGTGGAAGTCTGAGTAGGATAGCGGGTCTGCGTGCCCTTGATGTTTGTATTCTTTTGGGTCTGCGTGCCCGTTTATTGTATGTTATGAACATCGTCGGCCTTCTTGGTCGGTTTATTTCTGTCGCCTTTGGGCATTTATGTTAATGCAGTTTTACATTTTGGATTTTTTGCCCTTGTTTGAAATCGTACATTTGCATGAATTTTTAGCCTAAGTCACGGGCCCGAGGAGTGCCCGTAGGTGGCTTTGATTTGGCGAGCGAATCTGCTCGCCTCCACTTGTATGCGTTCCCGGCCCTATTTGATTGGCCAGAGTTGCCTAAGTGTTGCGCTCGAGGGGAGAGATTTCCTTTTGACCCTTGTAGATGGCCCGTTATTCTTGATGGAATGTCGGGCATTTTGGAGCGAAGTTGCTCAGTCGGGCGTGGAGCCCGTTAGGGACGATTCGCCCTTGGCGTGAACTGCCCATCGCGAGCTGGGTGTTCTGCCTTATGGGTACAACGACGGTGGGGCTCGGTATAGCTGTCCACGTCGGGCACTATCGATCGTCATCGTTTACCGCGCGATGCGGTGCCATTTTGGTCGTACGTCGGGCTTGTACCTTAGCCTTAAACGAAATTGGACGTTTTTCCTCGTTGACCGAGCGCGGGTGCTGCTGGTCGAGGGTCCCAGGTGTTGACAGTTTCTAACTGTAGTACTGCTTTAGCTTAGCAGCATTCCAGGGTCGTGGTAATGGCTCTCCGTCTAATTGCTCGAGGTAGTACGCCCCGGTACCCGTGGTG